CAGTGTCAGCCGTGGATCCAGGAGGACCCCCAGATTGCGTACCCTCTCCGAGGGAGCCAAAATTTCGCCCCCTATAGTCAGCGATGGAGTCAGCTGACCATACCTTGGAGCCGGCAACCACAGCCACTCCGTCTTGGAAGGGTTGAGCCTGAGTCTGTTTCTCCCCATCCAGACCCGTACGGCCTCCAGACACCGGGCCCCACAAGTTAGGGGCCTTGTGGCACCCCACAAGTTAGGGGCCTTGGGGTCGACCTCTGCCCCCCTGCAGGGGGCGGAACCACGCATGTGCGGCGCTCCCGGGCAGGGAAAGTCCTCGACTTACGACCGGTTGGGTAGTCCTCGACGTACGACCGGTTTAGTCCTCGACTTACGACGGTTTAGTCCTCGACTTACGACCGGTTGGGGGTCGCGGCATTAAAAAGCTTGAGAACCACTGTCCTACAATGTTTGCCTTTGCTCTCTTTATGTAGTATTGGAGATTCTAATATGTGCAGAAATTTCTACTTTTCTATGTGAGTGAAAACTTGCTGTACTTGTTTTCCTCTGTGCATGAGAGATTTTATTGTCACATGGAAAAGATCAATAGTCCAGCACAGAAGCAGGCAACATTTTTGAAGTTTCAAGATACTGCATAAGATGTATAAATATACCTATTTGGTCTTCTAAAAATTAAACTCCACACAACATGCACGAGAATATTACAAAAAGAAAATCTGAATTATAGCCACTGCTGTTAAGCGTGCATAAATATTTGAAATTTTTCCCTGGGTTTGTTTTTTTGCCATCATTTTCTTTTGCCTTGTTGCCTTGTTGTGTTTCTTATATTGTTCTTTGTTTTTTAATGTTTTAACAATTGTAAACAACCCAGATTCAGGGTTTACAATTATAAAGCTTATAGGGCAGCATATAAATTTAATATATTATTATTATATATTATTTTTGTTGGTCCTGCACTGCACTGTTTCTTCTTTGTCAAGTATCAACTGGTTCATTGCAGTCCCAATATTGACAATTGGTAGAAAAATTTCTGATTTCACTGAAATTGGAGATTCTGTTTATGGCATACAATTTGAGCTTGGTATCTGCTGATTTTCTTGGCTATAGCGGTTGTTGCTTTATTATTTCCAAGGTATTCAGTTACAGTTGTATCCATGCTGTACATTAGTTGATTTGTTTCTTGCAGTGGGCTAGTGCTTATATTTGGTGTTATTGCAACCTTTCAGTTCTTGTGCTGTTTCTTTGGAACAAGCTTCAGCACAGACAACTTTGTTCTGTGGTTTTTGTGCTGTTCTAGATGCTCAGTTATTCTTTGTTTCAATTTTTCTTTTTTTCTTTTTTTCAAATTACAGGGCTTTGTTCTTTCTGAGGAGAAGGCAGAGGAGAGGTGCCTGGTTTGGGAATAAAAATAATTTGATAGCTATGCTGGCTTTCTTTACTCCGGCTCCCTCTGGTTTGCCTATATAGTCTGAGCTACTTCTAATAAGGCTTTGATTTCTTTACCCTGAGTAGACCTTTGTAGTTCTTCCAAAGCTTCTCTGAATATATTATTTTGTATTATAAGTTGACATTGATCTGCTGGCCTGGTTCGGTTACTTCTGTTTCTGGATACTGTTCTTACATTCTTTTCAAATATTCTTTTCTTGATGGATTTGGTTTGTAAGAAAAAATAATGTCTGCATGTATTTGTGATGGGTAAACAAGTTTTGTTCTAGTGGTCTTGCAGCTGCTGGCCCTGGTTGCTCAGCCAACAGACCTGAGTCTTGTAGCCCATTTGTTACCAAATGTCCATGAAGTCCAACACCTAGCGTGGTCCTTGTGACCTTGTTGATGAACAATCTGGTATGATTTGTCTAAATTATGTCTCACCGTATTATTTATTGGAGACACACATTTTGTCTGGCTCATCTGATGACGCCTGTCCAGTATGACTGAATATCTGTCATAAGTCTCGTCTTCCTCACAAGCCCCACAACCATGTCAAGATAGTGCCTCACTGAGAGAAATTATTATGGTTGGCAGTCAGATTTTTAGACTGCATTTGTTATTTTTATCCACCTGTTGAGTCCTTCCCTAGGACCTGGGATAGGGAGATGTTGATTGATGGTGTTAAAAGTATTGTTGCAAGAAACAAGTTGTTCCAAGTAAAACTGACGTTTGAAATGATGGGGATTTTGTCAATGTTAATGGTGTTCAAGTAGCGCTCCAGAAGTTTTGGGATTCCATCATATATGCCTATTATTACTGGCACTATCTTTGTTTGCTTTTGCCACAGTTATTCTACTTCTATTTCCAGGTCTTTATATTTTGTAATTATTAAAATATATTTTATAATGTGCAATGAAATATATAAAAACATAAATATAACACAACTTATATTAATATAAATATACAACAAATAATTATTAATAAAGAAATACATTTTAATAAAAATAGTATGATTTGTCAGCCAGATTTTTAGATTGGATTTGGCATCAGGTCCTTCCCAAGGACCTATAGTTATCAAACTGAGCTGCCGTGATAGAATTAGATATGTATAAGTAGTTTTTGACTGGTAAATATCCATAATTTTAAACAAACAGCTTTCATAGATCTATATATTCCTAAATCAGTGCTGCTGTGTTCTTAGATTTCCACTATCAAGATAGATTGCAAAAGTTTATTTTTCTCAACAGATGCCTTTTCAGAAAGCAGATTAATCACTTACAATTCTAAATATCTCTGTTGTTTTTCTTTTCTGTTTTTCAAATAGGCATCAAAAACCATTTCTGGACTATGGGGATGCTGTCATGCATGGGCTAGAGGCCGGTCCCTTTTCATGGCTCAGAACTCATTCTGTCTGGGGAAGGTACTTATCTTAATTATAGCTGTTTTGTATCATCTATGGTGATCAGTTTAAATTGTCCCTTAAAATGGAGGTAAATTTTTTTGCTATGCTGATTGTGAATTTTAGGAGTTGCATTTGTGATGCATAGGAAGTACTCAGATCAGGGAAGATTGATTTGGGTCTTTCAAACCAGACAAGACTTCTTTATGTCAGGTTACTGCCTTCATTAAGGAGGTTGGGATCACACTCTATTAAATATTATATTTTATTAAACTGAACCAACTGTTGTATTCCTTGCCAAACATAACTAACTATGAAGGTCCCAGCTGAGTGGATATACAAGGGTGACTATACAATTGGCTAAACCATACCGAGCACCTTGTTTACAGAATTGAGATCTTCCAGATTGAAGATAATAGTGTAGCATCAGACATATTCAATAGCTGATTTGAATTCAAGTAGTAATAAAATAATCACATTTCCATTTAAAATGTTTTATGGAATTTAACTACTGAGAAATTCATTACATCACAATTTTGGCAAGGATTTTGAGAGCAGGTGTTAGCTACTTAGAAACAACTTCTCAACTTCATTGAGAAAAATAATACTATAGTGGTGAAAAATTTACAATTGTAATCCTCACATAACAGGAGTTTTATTTTATTTGATTTATTCTGCCTTTGGTTGCATTGTAAGATGTCATTTTGCCAACGTATTTTTGAATTTTCATTACAACTGAGCACTACATTTTTAATTGGCCTTGTATTTAGCAGTATTTCAGAAGATTGAATTGATACATCAGGAAAGTTAAATATTTACAACTGTTAATCTTGCAAACTTACAGTATGTCTTGTTTTTTAGGTACCTAGTGAGTTTTTTCTTAATTCTTACTCAGCTGGGATTCTGTTGTGTATATTTTGTATTCCTTGCTGACAATTTCAGACAGGTAAGAATCAAAATAATGAAATGTGTTATAATATCCAAAGCAAGTATACTAAAAATTCAGGATCATAAACACTGTTCTAACTTTACTTTTTTATGTAGCTGCTTTCATGCTCTTTCATGTAGCTCTTTCATATATATGGCAGGAGACTCATGGTTGAATCTCTGGTTATCATAAATATATGTATCCAGCTGCAGTTAGAAAGACTCTGAACTAAGATATTTCCCAGAAACAAAACAAACCCTCCTATGCTTGGACTAAGATGAAATGAGAGCATGTATGGTGCAGTATTAGATTAGGACTAGGAAGATTTAAATTCAAGTGTATTGTCTGGTATAAAAGCGTATTTTGTGCTAGTCACCATCTCTCACATCAACCACGTTGTAAAATTGTTGTTCTGGGAAAAACAGAACAAAATTCTGTGTACGCAACTTCTCTTAGAAGAATGGCAAGATATGCATACAACCAATAAATTAGTTTGCAGAATATTTTCACTAAATTTAGAAAAGATGAGATGCAATTTTCTGAAATTTGCCACTTGTCATTTCTAATGTGCTTCCTGCGTGTCTTGAGAAATCATAAAGAATATGCTGGATTCACCGGTATTAATCTTTGAGGAAAGCAGAATACAAAAGTGTCATTGTTTTACCCAAGGCTGTGTTTTCTTCTGTGGAATCATTGCTTTCTGAATTTGAGGAAAATATTTTCATATTTTTTTTGGTCTGAGTTGCTGATGTTCTGTCAGCCATTTACATAATGAATCATGAGTCATGAGTCAACAACCCAATTCCATAGTTGAATAATGAGTTGTATAACTTGGCAAGCACTTCTCATCCTGATCTTGATATCATAAGCTTAATATTTTCTAAATGGGGCCAGTGTCTCAGCAGATTTAATAATAAGCTTGCATTAAAGCTAAATCCAAATAGAGTCGTTTTGTTTGTTTAATTTTATGAAGTATTGACTGCTCTGAGAACCATCTGTTCCTTTTGAACTAATGTGTGGGTATGAAATCATGAGTGGTATCCTGTGAGAAATGGGAATCAAAGCTCAGTCTTTCTCAGCAACCTTGCATTAGTGTGTGTATTGTGGTGTGCTGCTTGATTGACCACACTTTTAAAGTACTTGGACTGTGCATGCTTTCCCTTGCAAATCCTGCTTAATTAGGGCTGGAATTAGAATTTATTTTATTTGTTTATTAAATTCCTATACCAGTGATGGCGAACCTATGGCACGGGTGCCAGAGGTAGCACTCAGAGCCCTCTCTGTGGGCACGCGCACCGTCGCCCCAGTCCTAGGCCTTCAGCTGGGTTTTATAAAACCTTTTCACTTTAGGCCTCTGCCGCGTGTGCAAAAAGAAAAAAGGTTCAATCAGCCAATTTCAGCTTCTCGCAGGAAAAAAAAAGATCTTGCAAAGTTGGAATTGATTGATTGAACTTTTTAGTCCCACCCAGTCTGCCGTTACTATCGCAGCCATGCCCACCCAATGGGCCACACCCACCCGGCACTCGACGATGCACAAGTGGGTTTTGGGTTGCAGTTTGGGCACTCAGTCTCTAAAAGGTTCGCCATCACTGTCCTATACCACTCATCACACTTATGTGATCCTGGGTGGTTTAGAGAGGTTTTTTTCCACCCTCTGAGCTCAAGTGTGTTGGATTAACTAGTAATCCTGTATCCTGTGTAATGAAGCCCTACACGTCTAAGTAGCACCAGATTGGGGCAGTCTCATGTTAACCTACTCCTGAGTACAGTTTATTATAATCACTTTACAAATCCTGTGGAAGGTAGCTGGTTAATAAACAATTTATTTTTATCATTATATTTATTCAGGTTATATCTGCTGCCAATGGTACCACCAATGACTGCAATGCCAATGAAACTGCTCTGAGGGCTCCAACGATGAGCTCTCAGTTATATATCCTGTCCTTCTTACCATTTGTGATATTGCTCGTCTTCATCCAGAATCTCAAGATTCTTTCCATTTTCTCCATGGTGGCCAATATTTTGATGTTGAGCAGCCTGATAATGTTATACCAGTACATTGTCCGGGTATGTATAAAACTGACTCTTTTCAGAATTTTCTTAGCACTTGGTGCTGCCATTTTGTTGGTTTTGCAGATCCAAGGGCAGTATAATTCTGTGGTGAATGGAATATGCTATATATTTAATAAGGATGCCCGTGGTATTATGTGGAATAAATATTTTCAAAGACAGATATAGTGCCTTTGTGCTTTGTCATTTAAATATCAAGCTAGGTTACAAAGGGAAAGGCATTATCACGGTACATCACAGGTGTTTTAAGTTTTATTTTAGTTGGACGGGGTGAAATATAATTATGACAAAAACTTTAGAAGAAAAGTTACCTGGAAAAACAATTTGAAAGGACAGAGGAGGGATTGTCGGGTGGACAGAGTGGTACATACAAATGAGTGAAGGGCTCTGGGTCGGGAAGGGTTGAAGAAAGAGAAAATACTTCTGAGAGGTTATGAATGGCAGAATTGAAGGAGCAAATGTCATATGTGAAGAGATAGAGTGGGCCAAGCCCAGCCCATGAAACAATAATATGCTTGTTTTGAGGGTAGAATGAAAAAATAACTCCACAACGAGATTGATTCTCTCACATACAAGTGAGACAAGTTAATTATTTCTTACTGGTAGATTTTTGTAACTGAGGGACAGCATTTCATTTAATGAGGGAAGAGTCTAGTAAGAAAGGTTTTGGTAGCTGATAGAAGACCACCTGAGCATTGTATTTTTTTGTTTTCAGTGATCTATGAGATTCATAGATAGTAATGTTTTTAAACCCAACACCTCACTCTAGTAAGCCTCCGTGCTATCAGCCCCCTCTACCACAAAGATCCTGCAGGAGAAGGACAGTGTGGACAACCGTGGGATCTGGCAGGGTGAGAGCTGTGAACCATAAACACAAAGCTTTTGCTGTGTCCCTGCACAACAGTTACAGTGCCCTTGCTGGCCTTAATAGGGACATTAAGGAGACAGATAAAGGTATTTGTGATGATAACTCAAATAAGCAGGGGATTGTGGTCCGAGACGAAGAACTAGATTTCGACAGGGAGAAGTGTGAATCAGCTACTACACATCAGTCATGCAAGAACAGAAAGGCATCCAAAAAGAGAAGCTACCTTCTGGTAGGTGATTCAATTATAAGGGATGTAAATTTAGGAAAGGACACAGAGGCTTCGAAAGAGGTCAGGTGTCTTCCAGGTGCTACTGTCAGTAGGGACAA